TTTGGAGGGTAAGAAAAAAATAATTAAATAATGTTGATTTAAGGTTACTATCAAGGTGATAGGTTAGTCTTCTACTATAAGTTTGATTAGACAAGTATTAAAGACAAGTTCTATTGATAGTTGAGGAGCCCAACATGTTCCCCACTTGTAAATATGGACAAATAGTGACTCTTGAGCTTTATCTTATGATGACATTCTGGCGCTCAAGTTAGTGAATGAAGAGGAAAGACAAACTTAAAGAGTTTAAGAGTAAAGAGCTGAGGCATGGATTATAGAGTACCTCTTTGATCTTTACTTGAGTATATTTATATAGGTTAACTTCATAATGTTTTGAATTAAGAGTGAGTTAATAACTTTAATAAGTATATGATCATGATATCAGTATAACGTAACGTAATAGTGATATTATGAGTGTGGGTAATGTATGATGATTGATTGCAACTTTTATGAACAAATATTTTAAGACTGAAGTTATGCTTAAATGTGGTTAATGTTCTATGTGACTTGGTTGTTACATCATTTGTTAAGACTAACTAATTTGTTTGTTAAGTAAAATGTTAAATTTTGTTTCATTGACCTATTCCAAATAATAGATTGATTAAATATGGAGGTCTCTATTGAAGAATAACAATTTTCGTCTTGATCAGAAGTAGACCAGATCAATATTTGTTTTGGGTCAAATCTAGCCTAAGACTAAGATGAACCAATTTTTTTTTTTTTAATTTGATTTTTTAAAAAATCAATAATAATGAATTAGTCCATACTGGTTTAAACCAAAATGAATCAATTTTTATATCTTTTAATAGGTTGAGGACTAGATTAAGAATATTTAGTTAGTCTTGATCCAGATAAGAGAATGACCCAACTAAATGCTATGTATCTCATATTCCCACCGTTTGTGTCCTTCCTTTATACCTTAAATCTTTTTTTTTTTTTTCTTTGGAGGATATTTATACCTTAATCTTACATCTCAATGACATGAACTTTTAAAACATATTTTTCTTCTGCCGAAAGGGAAAGAGTAGAATTAATAAGAAATAATGGGGTCAAAAAAGTAAAATTGTACGATTTTTACTTCTTCGCTTTGCATTTGTAAGGAGGCCTCGACCATGGAAATGAGATGGAAGCAGCAATCTCCGGGCTGGTAACGCTTTGCGAATCGCCCAGTAGCTTGTCCTTGTCCTCGTAAACCATTTACAGACTTCCAGATACAACAAAATAGATCCACTGCTTCCGTTCTCCGCTCCAGATCTCTAGAGCTCAACGTGCGCTTGACATTTCTTCTATAATCAGCTCAAGGTACAACGACTTTTCTTTCTAGACAAATTCGGCTTCAATTCTTCAAGCAAATTTACTCAAAAGAGTCATTGGCTCGATCTAGCGGGATCTGGATTCAAGCTTATCCATAGTCTATCTTCTCCTGTTCTGTTTTGGTCGATGCAATCGCTTATTTAATTTGCCATGTGTGTGCATGGATTTCGTTTTTAGGTTACGCGAGCGGCGTAGTTGAACAGCAATTGAGGACAGCAGGGGGAGGAAATGGCAGCAGGAGGATTCTTGACTCGAGCATTCGAATCGATGCTCAAGGAGTGTGCTGGCAAGAAGTACCCCGATCTTCAAAAAGCCATTAATGCCTATCAAGGTCAGATCTCATCTTCTGCGGTCTCACTGTCTTCTCGCTTCTTTTCCGTTGGTTTGAATCCGTGGTGCAACTGGGCTTTTTACACTGCATGAAGATAAAAGGAGTGTTTGCATTTTACGTTTTTAGATGCCAAATGAAACTTGTTGCTATTTATTTTTTGGCTGGCCCGTGTTCTGCAAACTTCTGCGCTGAAACTTGTAAAATCTACAAGTGCACTGTGACTGGTTAGTATTCCTAATTTATTTCGTCTACGGCCTCCGTGCTTTAAGTCCTTGGGGATTGACTGCAGCATGAAGCTCTTATTGCTAGCTCATTGAAAATTACCTTTTCCTACTGAATAATGATAAGAGACATCTATAGAAATGCTTTACTTAGCTCCTTGCATGCAAAGATAGATACAACTCAAAGTAGGTAAAATTTTCTCTCAATCTGGACTGCAGAATCTTCATAATTTCATTTCAATAGTGATAAGATTGTTAAAGTAATTTGGGTCATAACTTATTGTCTTTCGATGATATTGGAGCTGTTATCGATATTTTCTTATATATGTAATACTTTTGTACATGGGCAGTACCCCTTTTAGTGCCTTTTTTTAATACATCTACTAACTTCTATCTCAAAAAAAAAAGAAAGGTGGTTAAAGTAATGATCTTTTGTTGGCATTGGGTTGGCAAAACAAAATGTCTCTCCTCCGCGTGATTTATTAATAATATCTATAGAATAGTTACAGTTTCTGGGGAATGTTTTTTCTTTTGAAATAAGTTTCTGAGGAATGTTTTTGTCATTTTCATATTTCAAAAAAGGTGTCTATCCTATAGGTAGTAATCTTTGTATTTCTTCATCTAATATATTTATTTTCTTAAAAAAGTAAGAAATTACAAAAGAAAGAGAGAGAATAAGGCATCCTTGTACATATAATAGCTTCTAAGTCCTTCGCAAATCCGATAGAAGACATATTTCCAAGAAAATCTGCTTGCCTTAGGCACAAAGATGCTAGAACACCACTAGCACAAATAACCATAGATATTTGAGTGGTTGTTACAAATTTTGGCATTTCCTTCCAACCTTTTTTTTTTTTTGAGATAAAGCATGTCCTTCCAACCATAAGATCCATGAAATTTCCTCGACTCATTCTATTTGTATTCTAAATTGGAAAGTGTATATATTTTCTCAAGTACCAAGTCTGTAATCGCTCTCTTCCATCCTAGTTACTTACCTTATGTTAATGTCATGTGGAAGGTATCCAATGTAGCTATCCAATTAGTTTAACACAAATTGTGGTTTTGGGGCGTGGTTGGGAAAGAATAAATTCTAGTATAAGTTCATGATGGTCTGAGTATTGTCAATTTTAGATGGTGGGATTTGGGAAACTGGCTGTTGAAGTGTCTGTTATAAGGAATATACTTTTTTGTCTGTCTATGATCTTTGTTACTGTCCTCAGATGTTAATTATGGCTAAAGATTAGGGAAAGGGATTTTATGCAGGTGCAAGAAGTGGGTTCCTTACCAGATTGTTGAGAAATGATGAATATCATCAATTTATGTTGAAGGAAGCGTAAAAAGTGGTTAGGAAATTGGTTGCTCAATGTTTTGTGGAATAGAGATGTATGTATGAGCATGTGTGTATTTTTGTAGTCTTCAATGCTAGTTTCAGATGTTCGTAGGTTAATGAATGCAGAAAAGGGGTAAATAATGTAAGTAATGACTTTTGACCAGAGTGTTGAAAAAACATGAAACCAATTGAGTTCTAGGGTTGTGAATGCCATCCATCAGAAAAATGAAGGAGAAGGAGTTTGTCAAAATGAGGTAATATTCATGTCAGCAAACGGGTACCATCCATAAATGGAAGGGTTAAGTGTTACTCACAAGATAGAAATCTATAACATCCAAAAGATTTCCTTAGTAGTGAGAGTGTGGCATGTAATTCGAAAGTATAAGGTGCACATGCAAAACTTTCTAGCGCTACCAAAGGTTTTAACCCCATCAAAAACTCTATTTCTTTTTTCTTTTTCGGTACGATCCATATTTAAAGATTGTGAAAGTAATGGATCATAGAAGATTGAAAATATACATACTAAACTTGAGGTGTAGAATAATAGAAGATTCAAGAGTCTGATATAATTTATTCTCTTAGCTGTTTTGTGGCTTGTATGAAGAGAGAAAGAGAGAAATAAAGAGTTTTCTCTCCTTGTGCAAGGATTGGAGATGTTTGGTTTTAGATTGCATATTTTGTCTAAGGGTCATTTTCTTGGCTTTAAGGACAACTTAAAGGACCTGGCCATCTCCATCTTTGATTTTGTAAAAATGCCCATTCTTTTTGTAGAAAGGTGCACCCCCTAGTGCCTTCTAATACATCATTGATTTTTCCTTCTACAATAAAAAAAGCTTGATAACTTATGTTTGGTTATCGTATAAGTTACCTTGGTAGCAAAAATAGGGTGGAGATCAATTTTAAGAAAGCTTTTGATATATAATAATATAGGATTTCGATGTAAGAAAACTTACCTGGAAGAGGTCAATGAGTGATCAGGAAGAAGACTCATGGCTTAAGTTAGTGACCTTCATTGCACTTGGGAGGGGTGCTTAGCTTGATGTCCCTCCGAGTGGGAGAGCGTACGTCATAATTTGCAGTAGTGGGGACTTGCATTTGCTCAACCCCTACTTTTTTCTAAAATGATATTTCAAAAAAAAAAAAAGAATTTCTATGTAAAGGAAGGGAGCACACGCATGCTACCATCTATTGGAGACTCCTGTTTGTAGGTCTTACCCAAAATCTAAA